AGGTAAATAATTTACCTGGTGGTATATTGTTTTAAGGGTTGATGTATTTAAATATCAAATATTTGTGGGTCCGTGCTGGGACCACCCATGAAGGTTTCATCGAGGTGTTAACAAGCTTCTCCGGTATTTTTATGCACGGTCCGACTTTCAATGGAAAAAATATCTGGTTGCATTAACACGTTTTTATACCATCTAGACTTTTATTATGACTAAATTCGAATTGTCTTGTGAATTAAACCCGAGTTTACAGCTTTAATTGCGGTGGAAAAGTTGGTGGTTTTGTGTTGAACCGAAATCACAAACGAATGGCTGAAAATACGAAAACAGAGTCGATGAAGCCAATTAGCGAGCAATTTGTGAAAGAATAATTCAATAAAAGTGCACCGAAAAAATATTTACAAACGAAGTATGTACAAAAGCCTTATAATCTCAATTTTATGAAAAATATTAAAGCAAACACTGCCGGAAATGTCTATAGACAGAGAGATTGCCGATCAAAATATAGAGGAGAGGAGATCACTGACTATCGACTTTAAATATTTACACTTGTTTTTATAACCGAGAAAATGAGTTTAGAAATAAAGAGACAACTTTCGTTTGCAATGAGATTTCAATTAAAATGGGACGCGTCGCGACGTCGATTTTGAACAATGATGAACTCTCGCTATAGTCAACAACACTTTGTGTAATTATTCATTTCGCATAGGAAAAGGCTTTTATTATGGCGGACATTTGCCTTAAAAGCGTTCATGTAAAACAAAATGCCAATGAAAATATTTATGACAGTGCGAAAAAATCACTAATAACCGTTGGATCAATAATTGGCAATAAAATAATGGTGTTTCAAAAGGATTTATGTGGTTACATCGATTGACACTTAATGTAACCGCGTAATCAAGTAGTTTAAAATTTAAGTAACTGTAGAAACAAAATTGTCCAACAATTGAAGCAAAACGCTTTTCGTTTTTCACCTTATTATTTGGCAGAATCTTTTTTCTGTCTGTTTTTTTTTTTCAAATCAGGAAGTTGATGACTTCATTAATGGCGCTTTACCGTACCGCAGTTTAATATTCTGAAAGGATGATTAAAACACGCTTTCTATATAGATTTGATATTAATAAATCCCCTGCCCGTGGAGCGTGCACATAACAAAACCGTAAACCAGGTGCACGTCAGTGAATAATAAAATAATTGGTCAATGACTTAACAGAATCAAACTGAGTTATCAGTCGATATCAGACGAGCTGTCAACGATCGTCGCGATGAGTCGGTAATTGGGTGATATTTCAGCTAGGTTCTACTAGGGGATGAGGCCCCCACGTGCTGAACAGTGACTAAGCTTATACAAACATGGGAGCCCTAAAGACAGATTGGCAATACCTACAACAGGACCATCTCGATCTCTCGAAAAGTACACACAAGCGCGAGAGTAATATTTTTTCAGTTAATTTAATTAAGATCGAGTCTTAAATGGATCGCTATAGCTGACGACTCTGAAATCCTGAGACTGTTGTGTTGTGATATTATATAAAACTTAGGGATGATGTTTTCAAATTTTTGGAAGGGAGTTAGGGAGTAACAGATAAAAAAATTTCAGCAGGCTTGATTGTTTCTGGGATAAATTTAAAAATTTTGTTGTTTAGTTTCGATTTGTTTTTTACAAAAACCTACATAAATAAGGCTAAAAACAAGCATGGATTAATAATAACACAGACGTCACATTTTTGGCAGATAGAGGAAAGCACGAAACTTACTTTTTCGTATTCTACTACAAGAACACATGGATATAAATATTGGAAAGTACTTAGTTTTTAAATCAGGAAGTTAGGAAGAAATTGCGAATTATCTCAACTTTTAGCTGTTGTAAATAATTTTAACAAAATCTTTGACTCTATCTTATCAGACATCCTGTACAGTCATGTGAGTAATTCAAAGTGTGCAAACTTATGTTTATTTAATAGGTATATGTTTCGGAAGCTTTAAAGGATTTTTAGAAGCTGATGTTATCATTTGTGACTTATCGAAAGCTGTTGATATTGTTGATCAAAGTTTCATTTTTATAGAAAAACATCTCAAATGGGTGTGGTCATTTCTATCCTACCAATTATAAACATTGTCTGCAAGGGCGTATAAATCTGAGAATTGGTAACAACAAATTATGATATATAAGGGTCGATTTGAAGTTCAGTATTGATTATTATCATTTGGTTAAGATGTTTATCTAAAAATATAGTCATAATATTGTTAAATATCACGGTGGCTGTGTTTAGTTAAATTCGCAATGGAGTTTATGCATCTGTTTAACGGGTTCGTTTTTTAAAAAAAAATTCAAACGATACGTCGTGAACCCATGAAGACATGTTTTTTTTTTGTTAGAACACCGTTAAACGCATGTTAAATTTAATCATTAATATTGATATTTGTTTTATTTGCACTGTTTTGTGTGTTATTCTGGTCGTGGTTTACTGAATATCAATAAATATTAATCTGGAGCGATTTTGTAAAACACAGCTCAGGTGTTCATACTTTCCTTAGGTATGTATATATATCGTTATCCTAATGGTTTACATAATTTATTGACAGTTTCGAAAAAAGATAAGATAAATTTTTCAGTTATGTTAAATTTAACTTACATCATAAAAAACGTTAACATTTAGTTAAAAACTTAGTGGCGCTAAAAAATGATCCACATGTTCCAAATTATGGGGGGAAAAACAAAATTGTCAACTGTTGTGTGCAAAACAAACGGAGTTGAAGAGATCAATAAATGTGTGTTTCGTATTTATTCTTCAGACAAATGAGAGTTACTAAAGAATAAGACTGATATGAATTTTGCTAAGGTTAATAGGTATAAACAGTCGAAACAAAAATTTCAATGTTTAACAATAATAGCCGAGACACTGAAAAACAGAAAAACTACAAATGTTGCGAACATTTGGCAGCATTTGTATTTTTTTTATATTAAAGGATCCGTTAGTCGTTTTCATTTTTATTTACTTAAATTGCCTATTTGCTCTTTCCAGAAAACAAATCAGACATTCTTTTCGTTTTATACCGTTTCATTATTTGCACAGTAAACATACAGTAAAATAGTATTTTGTATTGTAAGAGAAATGCTATACTATAAGCGAGCGATACTGATCTCACGAAATTATAATGGCAACATAAAGGTTTCAACAGTTTTAGAACTGATTTTTCCAATGAAAGTGATTTACGAAAATCGGTAAAAATCAGAAAAAAATTGGCTAAACTAAATTCACTATACTTCGACACTGCCAGCTGCACAGCCTTATCACACCTTATCCACCTCCCTCAATTAACCCCTGTTTTATTCTAAAAGTCAGTTTCACGGTTTGATTGATACAAATAATAATTTATTAAACCAATTTTGTGCAGAAAATCTATCAATACTGTGAATTCTAAAATTGTAGTTGGCAAATATTGCTGAAACTTTTGCTGGCAACTATAGCATGGAAAATAGCTATAATATTAAATTGTAAGCATGCATTTTTAATGCAATTTTTGTATTTGTGTCAAAAAATTTAAAACAAATATAATATTTTTTATATATAATTCAAAATAATGGCCAAATCGTGTATTTAAAGTTTTCTAAAAAAAAATTGCCGTCTTCATTTTTTAATCTTCTTTAAATATATAAAAGGCAATGTCCTGATTGACCTATCAACGCCTAACTCAAACCACTAATGCTAGAAAGTTGAAATTTGCAGAGAATTTTCATTTTATACTGGAGGCATCGTTTAGGAAGGTATTTTTCGAAATTCATCCCCTAAGGGGGTTGAAAAGGGGTGATAAAATTTGTATAGGACCAATATGTCTACTGTAAATTTACATCGTTACCGTGAAACCTGGTACATTTTAATTCTCTTCAGGACAAATAAGGAAATACGTACTTAAGCATTTTCCCCTAAGGGGGTGAAAAATGGTGTCTAAGTTTGGGCGGCCAAGTTTGTATAGGAACAATATTTCTGCTATAAATTGAAATTTCTACGTGAAACTTGGTTCTTCAACACAAATAATGAAACAAGTCTTTAAGCATTTTCTAAATTTCTACTCCTAAGGGAGTGAAATGTGGAGGCTAAATTTGCATGGGAAAATATTTCTATTAATATCTATATATTTAAATTTTTACGTGAAACTTGGTATTAATGCTCTTCAACAGAAATAATGAAACACGTATTTGAGCATTTTCCGAGCAACCCCTAAGGGGCTGAAAAGTGGTGGCTAACTTTATTTGGGAAAAATATTTCTATTTTAAATTTTTGACGTGGAATTTAGTATTAATTAATGCACAATGAAACACATATTTAAGCATTTTCCGAGATTCAACCCCTAAGGGGGTGAAAAGTACCTATTGGTTAAGTTTGTATGGGAAAAATATTTCTCCTGTAAATTTAAATTTTTACGGGGAACTTGGTAGGTATTAATACTCTGCAACACAAATGATGAAACACGCATTTCAGATTGTTTCGAGATTCCATCCCTAAAAAGATGAACGGTGGTGACAAATTTTTTATGAGCAAAAATATTCTTATTTCTATTTTTACTGGAAATTGTACTAAAACCCTTCAATACATTTTTTACTTGAAGGTTGGTAATAATGTTTTTCAACACAACGAATCGTTTACGCGAAGGAAGCCGCGGACGAAAAGCTAGTTTATACATTTATATACTACGATATTTTTTCTTTGGTCGCCAATTCGCCATATATACGTAAATGTAAATCCAATGCAGATACAGAAAAAGAAAAAAAATGTGGCATCTAAAGGATCACAATTTTCTTTAAAAATTCTTGTATATCTTTTGTACAAAGTTTTATAACATATAAATTAATATAATATGACATATTTATTGTGTTCAAAAACTGGGATTTTTAACAACAGCTACTTTAACAACTATAATGAACAAAGTACATTGCTGTGATGTTCTAACGCTGTATATTAGAAAGGAAATAAAAAATAAATGGGTGATGGGCGATTTATTTATTTATTTTGCTTTAGGTCACATATATTAGGTATAGTGCAGTAACTTTGTGCTAAATAGAATTGTAATGGACAAAAAAATTGTACATAAAAAGTTGAGTAAGGACTGTATAGATGAGATTTACATTAATTAACTAATTAGACAAGTAGGTCGTTATCATAACTAGAGTTAATTTTTACTTTCATTTTATACCTACTTTTAGTCAGCTGAAAACTTTTAGTTGAAATATTCGTAAAGAGTAGTTTATTTTCAATATCTTCCAAATTTCTAGTCCGAATGTTTGGAAGTAAATACGTCTATAGTAAAGTCTTAATTAATGGAGCTGTAAAGTTTTACTAGGTACAAGTTAACTAAGTTTACTATACATGGATTGTATTTCGTTTGTGTTAGTAAAGTTATTCATACATATTACAGCTTTGACTTTAATTAATCCGGTTTACTAAAGAAGATTATAGTTATCCCTGTTTTTTCTGATTCATCTTGTGCAGTAACCGTTATTACATGTCATTATCTGCGATCATTGATTATCTAAAAGAATAGGAAAGGACGTTTAAATATATACATTTACAGCGATAAAAGAGTTCATGTGGCTGCAACAACTTGCAATATTTCAAGTAATTTTTACGTTGTGAAGGAGAATTTAATTTTCTTCATTCAGTGCTCAAGGATAGGTCATCTACCCGCCGTTTTTCTTTTTTTTTTTGATGTCCTTGTTTTGACACACATACCTGACGTTCGAGGTTATTATTGAATATGATTATTATTTCTGAGTGAGCTCTTTACATCGTGATGTTGTGATAGGACTGTTAGGTGCGGCTTTAGGGGAACCGGCACGTACGCAAACAGCCCACTATAAACCCTTTTAATGAAACTATATATCGTTCCATCAATCGAAGAGTTTTCAATTAATAATAAATAACTTTTATGCGATAAAATTGACCGCCGAAAGATTTTTCAAGTCCAACAACGTGCTAAAATGGAGTGACGATGATGATGACATAAAATCTTCTGTTTCATACCATCAGAAGATGTTGAAAGCTTTTGTATGTGTGTGGTCCATAAAAGGAGTGCTGAAGAGTCTTCAGAGCGGCGATTGTCTCGACTGAATATGTTCAAGTGCTACTTTATTTCTGTTGGAATCGAACGCTATGCAACGTTTTCAGATTCATTCCTTACAAATTATCCGAGATTTATGTTGCCGTGACATTTAAATCTACCCACTTGTGAACTCCAAAATTTTGTTTAAAATTTGTGACACGGAAAAGCGTCTTCAAAGTCATCGTACGTCATATACCTGCATTGGATAATACCATACGGCTATAAAATTTTTTAACCCACACATTCCTATTAATCCTGAACTGTAAAACGATTTTTTTATCGACACCTCTAGTGGGAACGACGTTGAGTGGTTTTTTATAATGGTCGAACAGTAGCACTCTTTGTTGACTGAGATGATGCAGGCTGAATGTGTGAATTGATAAAGAATAACATGTTTTTTAATGAACGTGAAGTGAATACCACACCTGACAAATCTCGAAAATACGGGAGCTTCTCAGCTCATCGCTTCTTGTTTGTTTCCATCATCATGGTTTTATAACATTGTTTAAATTAAGAGTAATATTGTTGTTCTATTTGTTTGGATCGGGTTTATTACTTTGTTTGTTTAGTGGTCGGGACAACAAAGAAAGTATAAATTGCTTATAATTGCACATCAAATATTTTTTAACCTTCTTGTACAAGGAGTAATCTAATTAACTTTTGATAAAGGATCTGTCATAAATATTATAAACTGGGTTAAGACAAAATTTAAGTATTAATGTAGGTTTTTTGCATTATGTTTAGAATGTGGAATTTTAAGTGTTGTCTATATAAGAGTTTTTTACCAATGTAATGCTAATCAGAAAACTTTTAATGAGTAACGGTATACTTGTAAATTATAAGTAACGTAAGTCGTTTGTGCATATTTTTTATTAATTATTATCCATTGCGTCCAGAAATAGGAAATAAATTGACTATAAAATTTTTGAAGGAATCAAATGGTTTTCTACGCAGTTTAAGAAATATATCATACGATTCACCATGTTAGAGCCTTCATGAAAAGTAAACTGTTAAGTTGTAACACATCAATATATTTTTTCAATGGCAGTATTATCCACATTTTATAGCATCACTTATGACTGAAGCATAGATTGTATCATGTTATTATTTACTAGACATTCTCAAGTATACTTCTATTTGCCGTCGATTTGAGAGGAAACAGGTTTCTCAAAATTTATTACGTACCTAGCTAATTTTTTATTTTTCATACTTTTTGTGTTATGCGCATGTTTTTTATTCACTTTTTAAAAATAACAGTCAGTAAAAATAGGGTTGCCGTAAAAATAATTAGCATAGTCATACGAGGTAAGCGCCAAATATTCTCGGCCTGATATATTTGCGATTGCTCGTCGGGAAATTTGTACAACTCATAAAAGACTAGAGGGTCCCCGCAGTATGTGTGTAAAATTTCAAGCCCCACTGCCCATTAGTTTTGATACATTTGAGGAGTAATATTTGAAAAATTATGGACTCATCATGCCTGTTTAAAATTGAAAATCGAACGGCAATCAAATTCTTATCAAAAGATGGAATTGCTCTAAAGGGTATTAAGGACAGGATGGTTTTTGTGTTTGCTGAAGCTTGTCCTTCACATTTTACTAAAAAAAATGATCACAGTTATTTCGCATGGGGTAAGAAACCCTTGAAGACGAACCAATCTTCCAAAAAAATCATGGCCACAATTTTTTGGGACTGTAAAGGAATGTTGTTGATTAATTTTAAAGGATGAAATACCACTGTCAACGCTACATATTATGCTTACTTACTGCATAAATTAGGAGAACGTATTTGGGAAAAAAGGCCGAGAAAATTAACAAGAGGCGTTCGATTGCTTCATGAAAATGCGCCCGTTCATACCGCATGTCTTTCTCAAGCTGCTATAGGGGCCTGTGACTTCGAGTAACTTGATCACCCACCCTACAGTACCGACTTAGCTTCGAACGATTATTAACTGTTCTCTAAGTTAAAAAACGACTTGCAAGGAAAACGTTTTGGACGGATAAAGAGGTGCAAACGGCAGTACTACATCATTTTAGTGATAAAGATTCAAATAATTTTTTTAAACGCATAGAGCTGTTAGTTGGACGTAGTTTTGAATGTATTGAAGTTAACAGAGATTATGTTGAAATATAAATATTTAATTTTTTTCCATCAGGTCTCTTTCTTTGTTAGGCCGAGAATATTTGGCGCTTACCTCGTAAATTTGACAAATGCCCATAAAAAAACTGAATTTGTTGAATGGGTTCTTTTTTTTTGATAGAATAAAATAAGGATATATTTTCCAGTTTAAACTCCTGACATGCATTGAGGACGAAAGAATGTCTTTTTTGACCTCAGTCACTTCACAGTTTTTGTTTAAAATCGTGTAATTTTATTTTTAATAACTCACATAATTTTTCTCTGATATTTGATATCAAAATTTTGAATTTTGGCTACGCAGAAAAATAGTGTATTTTTAATTGAAGATGACTATGTGAATTTCAAAGTAATATGAGTAATTAAACATTTAATGCAGTTTTTCCCACGGGATTATGGAGTTTAAGCAAATTTTAAAAAATTTTACCTAGGGATATTTTGAATTATTTTTGAGTTAAGTGTCCTAGAATTTTCAGAATACGAAACTTTAATTTTTCTGCACAAAGAGTGTGAATAGTTGTCTATAACTTAGATTAACGTATCATTAACAAGACGGAAGTTTTAAAATTAGCTTTCATTTTTGCATGTTTTACTTGTAGAAACCAATCATTAATCATGGCTGATATGCAGACGATTTTTCCTTAGTCATACACCTTACTGCAAGTCATGTCGTCGACTGTTTTGACTGTTTTTGTTTTTCAGCGACAGTATTTGTTTATTTATTCTTGACCTATTATTTAAAAATATACGGTTGCTTTTTTAACGGAAAGATAATCAAGGAAGTGTGTAAATATTTTTTTAATGAAACTGATCATGTAGTGATTCTATTGTTCATTGAAGTATTGTCCAACTTGTACAGATATTAGTCAATATTATCTTGTGATGCGTCTATGAAACGCCAGTGTAAGATTTTTATGATGAACGCATACAATGTTTGTCTCTATAGCCAAACTGCAAAAATATTTTGACCTAATTTTGTGAACTAAAGAAGTTATTTCGTGATTTTTTTAATTTCTGCTCTAGTTGGTCATGACGTGTCGGTCAGCAGTGTAACTGAAACGGCTATTTGTATTATTAAGTACTTAAGTAAGTGGCCACATTGCTACATAAAAAACGCGTTTGTACCAAGGAATCTAGAGTTTTGTTTGATTCATTCTAAATTTGCTTCAATAAAGTGGTGTCTTAGTTCATTTTTATTTTTTATATCAGTTAATGAAGCAGGTTTACAGTGTATTTTATGTAGCTAAGTTTTACAAAATTCTGGGAACAAAGTAGGGCTATTTTTATTTTAGTGTTACATTGTACCTACGTATTGACACTGATAGACGTACATATATATGTGTTTCTACTACAAAGTTTATAAAACAATTTTATAGTTCCTCCTTTATCTGTAGTTTAATAACCCACTTCTATGTTTTCCTATTTTTAGTTATTGTAAAAAATATGGAATCAAATTTTATAATTTCTCCAAGAGATTAGACTTGTTTATTAATTGATTGTGCTCCAGAAGTAAGGTAAGTTCTGTTTAAATAACTAAGGTTATTTTTTTAATTCACAAGCGTAAGTATCGTAATGGGGACCATCCGGCGAACTATTTTCATGTTTTCTTGACGTTTCTTGGTTCTTAGAGTATGAAAAATAGGTCCTCATTTCCTGTCTGTTGTTTGTCTCTCGTTTGTCTGTCGTCTGTGTTAATTTTTATTAGAATAGACATTTTATCTCGAAACTACTGGACTGATTGTTGTTAAATTTTATATTATGTAAGTACTTTCGC